CAATCGCCATCATCATCATCATCACCATCACCATCATCACCGTCATATCCATCATCGTCCTCATCAGCATCGTCAACTAAGCATCACCAAGACCATCATCATCATCATCATCCATGTGTGCTTCGTATTCATCGTGCTGTTCTCATGCTCTTTGCGTGGGGGCGGCCGGCCGTCGGCGCGGGCTTCAAACTGCAAGAAGCCCTAAACCCTAAAGCCTACACGCACCGCTATGTACTGGTGATTCTTGTTCTAGTCCTTCCCACGCCAAGAGAATGACTTACAGTGCACACGCGAGACAAGAGATTTCTGGCATCTCCTCTTTGGTGGGTCATGCCACTAAACCGGAACCGTGATGATCTCGAGCCCGAGCCCGTATAAATTCTGAGCCCTATCGCCCTGAAAGCCCCCAGCTACTAAACCGCCAACCCCTAAGCTTCAACCCCTATGGATAAAGCTTGCGCCCCCAAACCTCCCATATTCTTTGCGTCGGCAGTGACCGACTTCATGAAAGGACCCCTTCTCCCGGAACGCCACAAAGTCGCGCACAGTTGCTGCCTCGGACCGATAAGGGCCTTTGAGGTTTTGCAGGGTTTCTTCGGGTTGTATTCCGGGTGTCATATAATCGTATAGAGTTTGGCGGAAAAAGGGTTTTTGTTTGTCCGACTGCATGGCTTGTCATGAGTACATGTTGTGCGGGGTCGCGCAGTCATGAGCGCTACGCTGCTTCACGGTGACGCCAGTTCCGGGCGAGAGAAGCCTCTGCCAAAAAGGGTTTTTGTTAGCGGTTGAACCCAGACGAGGCACCCCCAAACTTTGTATCCTGTTCCGCTCCAAACCGTTGGACACTTTCGCAGCAGTCCTGGAGGCAACAACGTAGCGATTTGGAGCTTCCAGGCAACCCTAAACCCTAAACCCTAAAGCTATCTAAAGCCATTGCCCCTTTAAAACCCAAGAGCTCCGGTTGTTAAGAGGAGTCCTGCAGGTGTCGTGTTTCGGGGCTTCGGGTGCAGAGCTCCGCAGCTTCGAAGCTAGCTGGCTTGGGCGTGCTTTCTGTGGGCCAAGCTCGGGAGAACCGGCGTTTCGGGTTTTCAGGTTTTGGGTTTTGGCGCTTTGGGAGTCTCGAACCATTTGAAGCCTGTCTACGCCGGGTTCGCGAATTTTTGCCTTATAGCTGAGGCCGCCAGTGTCGACACTGTGACATGTGGGTCGTCCTCTGAATTGGGGCACTCCTTTGGGTCCTTGAATCAAGCATACTTCCCCGGAAAGGAGCTGCTGCACCATACTGCACCCTTGTCCGTAAAGCCTACCACCTAAGCCCCAAACGTCATAGCTCGTGGCCACTGAGAACCGGGAAAGCCAGGAGCCGTGCTGCAGGGAGGCTTCCAGGCGTTAAGTTAGAGTTTCGGGGTTTCGCATCCAAGTCTTGTAGTTTCGATCTTGACCTCCGGATGATCTTCCATTGAACGCAAGGGCATTCTCGCCGAGTAGAAATTCAACGGGCTCTTTTGTGCTTGTAGAAATACTAAATTGGTTGTGTCTTGTCTTGCTCTGTGGCGGTGTTTGCGAGGTTGTCCTCGTTAGTGTCCTCGTTCGGCCTTTCGTGCATCTGATCTGTCTCTCCAGTTCTTTCATTCCACTGTGGAACGCTGATTGAGCTGAAGCTTTAGCATTCCAGGTCCGGTCGCGGGTTTTGCTGCTCATGGGTAGCACCCTGGTTGTTGTGCTGCCAAAACAGGATGCTGCAGACCGGGAACCAGATATCAGAGTGCAGGAGTCCTTCAATCTCCCGCCCACCGTGGCAGCAAGCTGGCCCCTCGCGCGGCATAGGCCGGCTCCCCATGCCAGGGTCGCAGGCGGTGCAGGGTTTCGAAAGAACGGCTTCAGCGGCGAGGGTTAAAGGGCTGGAGGATTGACTGCAATCTGTTTTCCGGCTTCAAGGATAACCTTTGAGAATGTGGAATGATTTCAACCTGACAAGGTTTGCAACAACGAGTGGTCTAGCCCTGAGGTGCTCCGACACAGAGTGCCTTGCCGCTTCTGCTGCTACTACTGGTGCCACCACTACAGCTACTCTTTCAATACCAGTACTGCCATGCAGGAGCCAAACTTTCAATACCAGTACTATATCTATATCTGTATCTATTTCTGTATCGAGTACACGAAGAATAGCACTAGTAGTACTAGCAGCGAGCACGAACAGTAGCATATTATGGTATGTTAGAGTATATTATCATATATTTAAATATGCTATAATTAGTATATTTCGCATGTTGTAGCATATCATGGTATAGTACAGTACATAAGAGTACACTATAGTCTACCATTCTTCAACTCCTGCGACCTGAAACCCGGCGGCAGCTCGCAGGTCCAGTGGGGGCATCCCGCCTGCCTTGGAGCTCGATGCCGGGGCCAGAGGGCCAGTAATTATTTGAACTAGAAAAACTGTTACCAAAAGAATCGCAACATAGTCGTGGTAACAAGACAAGTAGAAGTAATAGGTAATAGTAGTAGCAGTAGCAAAAGCAACTAGCCATAATCATAGCAAAAGTAGTAGTAGTAGAAGAAGTAGTAGTAGTAGTAATAATAATAATAATACTTACAACAGGGATAATTATAGTGATGATGATGATGATAATAATAATTTATTAATAATGATAATAACAGTAATCACAATATTCCGAATATGAATAGCAATAAGTGTGAAAATAATAACAATAATTGTACTAATAGCAACCTTAGAATTGTAATCAGGTGCACCTGAGGTTTGTGAGAACACATGGTTTGCGATAAGAGGTCCAGTGTTTTCATGCGGGGCTAGGGCTCCTAGCCCTTGCAGCTTTAAATGGAAATGTCTAGGGCGTTATGAGTGGGGAGCAGGCGCAACGAGATTGAGAAGCCTTCAGCGATGTCGTAGAACGTTAAATCAAAACCGTAGAGTTGGAAGAAGTCCGAAACCCTTAGCCGCCAGATCATCAACTCTTCAGCTCAGGCTTTCCATATGGCGCCAGAAGTGTTGCAAGCAGCACTTTTGCGCTTGATGCAAGTGTTCGTCTTGATCCGGTGTTGCCCGTTGTAAAGGTGGAGTAGAGCTTGTCATGCTAGCATGAAATAAAGACGTTGGATGTTGGACCAAGAAAGAATGATCTTGCAGGTACAAATGGTGATACGTGGTGGGCAAGACGATCAATCAGCATGGCATGGTTTTGAAGAGGGCAGCCTTTAGTTCGAAAGAGTCTACGCAGTGCTTGCCAAGGCTCGAAATTTTTCGAAGGGCACGACGAACTTGTCGGAGGCAACGGGCGTGCTGGGTGCGGAGCATTTGTGAAATGGGGAAATTGTGGACACCCAAGACCCCAACACCATTCAGCGAAGTGGAGCCTTGAGACTATTCGGCTACGGCTCAAGCAATTTTGTTCAAGCAAGGCTGCTAGTGTTGTCATATTTGCTACGTCTCTGAAGCGATGACTGATGCAGCTGTGAACGTTCTCGCCAACATGACCGAAGCAGATCCACCCTTGACAGCAACTGAAGATGCAGGTGCNNNNACAGCCTTGGTCTTTTTGATGACGGCGGGGCTCGGCTTCTTTTATGGTGGCCTGGTGCGCGACACCAACATTATCAATACCATGATGATGAGTGTGGTCTCCATGGGGATTGTCACACTAACTTGGGTGGTGTTTGGCTTCTCATGGGCCTTTGGAGACAACGGTGAGAATGGCATTGGCCTTGTCATTGGCAACTTTGATTACAGTTTTTGGATGGGTCTGGATATGAAGAACTGGGACACGCTTCCAGGTCTCGCCTTCGCTTCTTTCCAGATGACGTTCGCCATTATCGCTAGTGCCATCATCTCCGGATCCTTGGTGGAGCGTGTGCGCTTCAGTGCTTACTGCATCATGCTGGCCCTGTGGTCCCTTCTGATCTACGCACCTTTGTGCCACTGGGTTTGGGGTCCTGGCGGCTGGATTGGCAGCCAGCTTGGAGCTCTCGACTTTGCAGGTGGAACCGTGGTCCACATCAGCTCAGGTGTGTCCGGCCTCGTTGCCGGTGCCATCCTTGGCCCACGCAAGCACGTGGAGAAGGACCTGGGCCCAGCCAATGCCCCCTTCGTGATCTTGGG